AGGCAAATCTGCAGTGTTATTGTGTCAAGTGTTTGATTTGAAGAATATCATCTTATACATCAAAATGTTGTTTCGAAAAAGAGCGTATACCTTAGTCTATGCCTTTATCTCGTTTTAATTCTATAACATACTTGATTCTTTTCCTACACAAATCTAAGCATATCACTCACCGGTACTTGTATGCTATCTCGAGACCAAACAGTTAGGATTAGAGTTGACTCACACACACACACACACACAGTATATGCTATTGGTTAAAGTTCATTATACAATCAATCAAGCTCTTAGTTTATAGATGTTCGACTGTACTGTTCCCCGTTTACCATGTACATTCTCTTAGTTATTCCTAGTCTTCTTACTTTCATGAAAGGTTGGACAAGTGACTTTGAGCCATGTTTATCTATCTGTAGACAACTACATAATGTAACAGATATTTCTTGAAACTAACCAAACAAACAAACTATTGTAGCATGTTTCATTCTTGTAAAGTCTAGTTCGTATATCATTGAATTCCGTGGTTATATCATTTTTTTTTAAAAGTTCAATGTTTTTTGTTTTTTTAAGCAATCAAAATAAATATTCTCTATAGAGTTAGTTGTAATATGTAAATTTATTGATTTCACTAGTTGTTTTGTTATTATACTACTTCGATTTTTTTTATTTTTAAGATTGCTATGGGTATTCCATTACATCGTATTAAAGATATACGTGAACTTTATCTTGTTCCTCCATGGTCTGATTCATGTATTATGTTTGATGATCCAACTGTAATTCGTCGTCCACCTAGTTGTTATGTCATTGCTGCTCGTATTACAAGTGAAGATCCGGATGAAGGTTTTAAACCATGTCCTGGTGGTGTAAGAGAATTAAATTTCCGAAGTAATCAATCTGTTTGGGGATATTTCAGTGTTAGCAGTGCTGGTGGAATACATGAATTCGCCGATTCACAATTTGGTCATATATTCTCAGCTAGTGAAAATCGTGAACATGCACGAGAGTAAGTTTTAAAAATATGAATAAAAATTAGTATTGATTCATGACAAATATAGTCAGTCAGCTACAATGTAGAACTTGGTACATATACGTACATCAGTTCAAGTTGCCATACCACATTAGCACAGGGAGATGCACTTGTTAATTCAAATTCCTTATTGTAGAAGTATTAGAGGCATCAAAGGTACGATTCGAAAATTATAATCTAGTAAAATGAATTTAAAAAGAGTAAAAAACGGTCATGAGGAATTCAGAAGGCTAGGATTTGAGAGCAGACAAAGAATGGATGCACCTGCGTTATTGCAAAAGCTTTTGAGGTATGTCATTCATATTCTCAATCCATCGGTTACTGTTGTCTCGCGGACGCCAACCACGTAGTCTACACTTACCAACATGTCAATGACTTGATGCATTTGTTCGTGACAAACACAGGGTTCATATTGATTTTATCCAATGAAAAACTTCATTATGAATAGTATTTTATCAGTTATAGCGAACAAATAACTCTATGGAATTTTCCCCATGAAATATTGTGTTTTTTAAAATACTCCTCAGTTGTTATTTCCTTTTAACTACATTTCAATTCATTTGTATCAACCTTGATTTCTTCATTACGTAGAATTGTAAGGATTTTGGAGTCTGCGAACTAGTGATAAAATTCATAATTATTTACAATCTGATATCGCTTATAATTAATGACTTTTATGCATAAGTACTTACGCCCGTCACCACTATTGTAGCATAGGTCGCCGACCAGCATTCTCTAGTCTAGTCTTTCCCGGGCCTTTTCCAGTTTTTACCGAACTGCTGTTAATTCAGCTTTCGATTTTCAGCACAGTGTGTTCTTTGGTCTGCCTATTTTCTTTCGGCCTTGTTGATTGCAAGTTACGGCATGTCTTGTGACGTAGTTGGGTGCTTTCCTCAATAAGTATCCTATCCACCTCCGGCGCCTAAACCTGATTTCTTCCTCCACTGGAATCTGGTTTGTTCTTTCCTTTAGTAGGTTGTGCATGATGGTGTCTTACCAACGGATCCTGGGTATCATGCGTAGACAACTGTTAATGAATACCTGTATCTCCGCATGAAGCCCTTCTAGTGTTATGCCCGGTCCCTAGCTCAGATGAAGGAGGAGGTTTGGGCATGACGTTTGCGACTACATACGTGGAAAATTAGTTTTCTACAAAAACTCTAACAATAAAAACTGATTTAAACTCTTTCCTGACAGTTGGTAATTCTTCATTTAGAAGAATGATAACGCGTCATGATGAAAAACAAGTTTCTTCGGAAGTCACGAGGTCGATGCACCTGACAACCAGAGCAACCATTATTATTGTAGGCACATGTAGTGTTCTCACATTTTCCTCATACAGTTATTCTGATTATTTTAAATAGAGTATGGATAAAGTTTGAAGTGAAAATGTGTCATTATAGTAAAACAAAGATTTTAAAATATTTAAAAGTAACTTAAGACTATATAACTGAATAACTTAATTGATTACGTAAGAAGGTCATTAAATTACCTTGCTGATTTGTAATGAGTTGAAATCAAGCAGTGAGTGAATTGTAAAAAAAAATAATATTGAACCAAAATGTGTTATCGGGTTTATTGGGAAACAATGTAACTGATGTTGTTACTTGTTCAATACATAAATCCAATTTCAAACGATTAATAGCTCTAGTTTGAGCAAACTTCTGATGATGACTTAAATTCTGTTAGCTGTTAAGTTATCGTCAAAAATTACTGTATATCAACTTGATGTTTCTCGTCTTATCACTGAAAGTTTTTTAGGCTTTCTGACTTCAGATGTTTGGGAGTATTTACACACAGTTGAAATTATGAGTTAGTCTTAGCTAGACCACCATCATAGAGCTGGAAACGCTGGACAAATGTTTTGTCGCAGTATGAGACTCAGCCGTATGCATTCTCGATCCCGAAGGTGGAAATTGAACTTTATACTACTGAGATCCAATAATGTCATTGTCTTGCAAGACAATGACATTATTGGATTTCAGTAGTGTAGGGTTCAATTTCCACCTTCAGGATCGAGAATGCATACGGCTGAGTTTCATACTGAGACAAAACATCTGCCCAGCGTTTCCAGCTTTATAATGGTGGTCTAGCTAAGACTAATTCATAATTTCAACTGTGTAAATACTCCCAAACATCAGAAGTCAGAAAGCCTAAGAAACTTTCAGTGATAAGACGGGAAACATCAAGTTGATATACATCAATTTTTGACGATAACTTAACAGCTAACAGAATTTAAGTCATCATAAGAAGTTTGCTCAAACTAGAGTTATTAATCGTTTGAAGTTGGATTTATGTATTGAAAAAGTAACCAGATCAGTTACATTGTTTCCTAATAAACCCGATCTCACATTTTGGTTCCATATTACGTTTTTTTACAATTCACTCACTGATTGATTTCAACTCATTACAAATCAGCAAGGTATTCAATGACCTTCTTACGTAATCAATTAAGTTCTACAGTTATATAGTCTTAAGTTACTTTTAAATATTTTAAAATCTTCGTTTTACCATAATGACACATTTTCATTTCAAACTTTATCCATACTCTATTTAAAATAAACAGAATAACTGTATGAAGAAAATGTGAGAAAACTACATGTGCCTACAACATTAATGGTTGTTCTGGTTGTCAGACGGTGCACTGACCTCGCGAATTCCGAAGAAAATTGTTTTTCACCATGAGGCGTTATCATTCTTCTAAATGAAGAATTGCCAACTGTCAGGAAAGAGTTTAAATCAGTTTTTATTGTTAGAGTTTTTGTAGAAAACTAATTTTCCACGTATGTAGTCGCAAACGTCATGCCTAATCCTCCTCCTTCATCTGAGCTAGGGACCGGGAATAACACTAGAAGGGCTTCATGCGGAGATACAGGTATTCATCAACAGTTGTCTACGCACGATACCCTGGATCCGTTGGTAAGACACCATCATCCACAACCTACTGAAGGAAAGGACAAACCAGATTCCAGTGGAGGAAGAAATCAGGTTTAGGTGCTGGAGGTGGATAGGATACTTATTGAGGAAAGCACCCAACTACGTCACAAGACACGCCGTAACTTGCAATCCTCAAGGCCAAAAGAAAATAGGCAGACCAAAGAACACACTGTGCTGAGAATCGAAGTCTGAATTAACAGCAGTTGGGTAAAATTGGAAAAGGCCCGGGACTAACTAGACTAGAGAATGCTGGTCGGGGACCTATGCTACATTAGTGGTAACGGGCGTAAGTACTTATGCATAAAAGTCATTACTTATAAGCGATATCATATTGTAAATAATTATAATAAATTGTATCAGTAGTTCGCAGACTCCAAAATCCTTACAATTCTACATAATGAAGAAATCAAGGTTTATACAAATGAATCGAAATGTAGTTAAAATGAAATAACAACTGAGGAGTATTTTAAAAAACACAATATTTCACGGGGAAGATTCCACAGAGTTATTTGTTCGCTATAAATGATAAAATACTATTCATAATGAAGTTTTTCATTGGATAAAATCAATATGAACCCTGTGTTTGTAACGAACAAATGCATCAATTCATTGACATGTTGGTAAGTGTAGACTACGTGGTTGACGTCCGCGAGACAACAGTAACCGATGGATTGAGAATATGAATGACATACCTCAAAAGCTTTTGCAATGGCGCAGGTGCATCCATTCTTTGTCTGCTCTCAAATTCCTAGCCTTCTGAATTCCTCATGACCGTTTTTTTACTCTTCTTAAATTCATTTTACTAGAATCGTACCTTTGATGCCTAATCTCCATAACCTCTAATACTTCTACTATCTCTACCAGTATGGGATTTGAATTAACAAGTGCATCTCCCTGTGCTAATGTGCTATGGCAACTTGAACTGATATGCGTATATGTACCAAGTTCTACGTTGTAGTTGACTGACTATATTTGTTATGAATCAATACTAATTTTTATTCATATTTTTAAAACTTACTCTCGTGCATGTTCACGATTTTCACTAGCTGAGAATATATGACCAAATTGTGAATGAGGCGAATTCATGTATTCCACCAGCACTGCTAACACTGAAATATCCCCAAACAGATTGATTACTTCGGAAATTTAATTCTCTTACACCACCAGGACATGGTTTAAAACCTTCATCCGGATCTTCACTTGTAATACGAGCAGCAATGACATAACAACTAGGTGGACGACGAATTACAGTTGGATCATCAAACATTATACATGAATCAATCCATGGAGGAACAAGATAAAGTTCACGTATATCTTTAATACGATGTAATGGAATACCCATAGCAATCTTAAAAATAAAAAGTCGAAAACAACAAAAAACATTGAACTTTTAGAAAAAATGATATAACCACGGAATTTAATGATATACAAACTAGACTTTACAAGAATGAAACATGCTACAATAGTTTGTTTGTTTGGTTAGTTTCAAGAAATATCTGTTACATTATGTAGTTGTCTACAGATAGATAAACATGATTCAAAGTCACTTGTTCAACCTTTGATGAAAGTAAGAAGACTAGAAATGACTAAGAGACTGTACATGGTAAACCGAAAACAGTACAGTCGAACATCTATAAACTAAGAGCTTGATTGACTCTGTAATGAACTTTAACCAATAGCATACACTGTGTGTGTGTGTGTGAGTCAACTCTAATCCTAACCGTTTGGTCTCGAGATAGCATACAATTACCGGTGAGTGATATGCTTAGATTTGTGCATGAAAAGAAAAATGAACAGCATACTGAAAAGAATCAAGTAAATGGTAGGATTAGAACGAGATAAAGGCATAGACTAAGGTATACGCTCTTTTTCGAAACAACATTTTGATGTATAAGATGATATTCTTCAAATCAAACACTTGACACAATAACACTGCAGATTTGCCTAAAGTATTCTTTAGCCATGGACTAGTTGCCCCATGTACTTCTATACTGTTGTTGTTGTTATTATAGGCTTTGAGCTTCACTGTTTGCGTAGAACGATTGTTGGAATCGGGGTAGGTAGAGTGCATAGGTTCAAAGCTGATGCCTATGAATTTGATTTAAAGTAATTTCAACACTGGTTTAACGTTTGTTGATTAACAGTTTTTAAAAAATAATTAAAATCATAGATAAACAGTGAGTGATACACAAAGAGTGCAGGTTATATATAGTATAGACGTTTATGACTGACTAAAAAGTCGGTAGTTAAACATCCAATTATAAAAAAATTTATTTCAATTGGACATGTTCAAACATAATTTTATCTCTTGTTTCAATCAATTAAAACTATCCAGTCAATACAAATACGATAAAGAATATCGATGCATAATGCAGTAGCTAGAAGTGGATTGATGAATACAAAAACGATTGAATTTTAAGATGATAATCACTCATTAGCAGTGCGCATCCATGACTTCGTTAGCTCGCCGGATTCGAACCCAGGACCCTCGGTCTTGCGCGTAAACGCCTAACCTCTTGACCACTGCGCCGATGAGGACATGACTATCAAGCAACTATTATCCAATTTGAATTCAGCAGATACATTCATACTGAATATAAGTCAGTCAGCCAGCTATAACGTAGAACTTTGTACGTACAAACATCAGTTCAAATTGACGGACCACATTAGCACAGGGGAATGGAATCGTCAATTCAAATCATATAGTAGTAGAGGTAGTAGAAGTATTCGCTTGTAATCGAAAAGATTAGTGACCAAAGATTTCATTCGAGAAGTATATTGCAGTAGAGGAATGTAAGACAATAGAAAAATATTCAATTTCGAACGTTTTACTACTTGTAATCCGGAATTGCCGGATGAGTGTCTTCGATTTTTTATGTTTCTGTAGTAACATTCGCACTACTTTACCTAAGATCTACACAATCAGTGTTATGAAATTCAATCCAGTATTCATACAGTATTTTACTGAAAGATAAAACAAATAACTTTGAATATATCTCCTCGTTTGTGAAATGAACAAACAGAGTCGATTACTTATTGTGTGTGAATTTATTAGGAGTTTGGAAAGTATGTTCAAATACAGTACACTAGAGTTGTTTGTTCCACCTGAGCAACTTTACACGAAGAAGACTACAGAATTAACTAAAATCTCAACAACATAGATCCATCAGTTAGCACCTGATGTTCCCAGATCTCTTAGCTGAATCGCATAGACTGGTAAAGTCTCTTCTATTCTACGTAAAGAATGGAGAAATCAAAGTATCAATATATTATTTTCAAGATAACTGAAGTGAGAGACCAACAAAGGCAGGCATGTTGCAACAATCTAATTTTCCGAATTAAAAAATGAATTGACCATAATTATGGTGTAGACAGACAATGCGAAAGGTGGCTTGCTTAAAGACTTTAGCAAACTCACTGATCCCTTTCATTCTAGCATACAAAAATATAGTACTCTAAATAAGGAACTGGATTTATATGAAGTGAAAATTAAATAGTTTAATCCAGGAATCGAAGATGTAGAAAAGATGCACATGAAGGTAGTAGCATACGTTAAACGGGTCAATAAAGATAATAGGAGTATAATCGAACCAGACTATACATGCAGAACAGCATATAGTTTGAATTTACTTGTAGAAACATTGAAATTTACTGTAAAAACCCATTAGGGTATAGAACATCAACATCTGTAACAATATTATTCATTCACCCCATGGATACACTGACCTTTTTTTAAATGAGGTTTTTTTTATTCAAAGAAACTACAAAATGCCTATACCATCTGATCAAACTAAAATAAAATACTTTGTAGGAATTCATCTTATTTTTTTTTAAAAAAAACAAACTTGATTTACATGATCAGTGGAAAAAACAAACAAACAGTACTGATTATGTATTTTTTTTGTATAGTCATGGTGACAATAGTTAGTAATTTGACCTAATTTTAGCTAATTTTTGCCTGAGAAATTATTATTCTTTTTATTTTTGGATTAACTTATTGATTTCATCTGTAATTGACACTCTGTTCTGCTGAACAATTTGTATGTTTTATTTAAGAAAAAAAATATAAAAAACAGTATAATTCCCTTTCGTTTTTTTATCTTTGGAATGTTGTCTTTATTTGTAATTTATTTGTGATACCATATTCTCACATAAATGCGGACACATTTATAGAGAAGCAAATCGATCACATCTGCATTCGTAAAAGGTTTAGATCTATGGAACATGGAAGACCTAAAAATAACAAGGTTGGAATGGACAACATCGGATATGAAGTTATCATGGGACGATATGGACTGGTAGAAAGAAAGGAACGAAAAATGGTGAGAGATTTACAAAACTATGTGCCATCAATAAACTGGTCATAGGCGGCACAATATTGCCACATAAATGCATACACAAAGGCACATGGATTTCATCGGATCACATTACACAGAACCAAACCGACTATATCTGCATCAGAAAAAAGTCCAGAAGGACGATGTTGGACGTGAGAACTATAAAGGAGCTGGTATAGACTCAAATCATCTCCTGCTGATCGCCAAGATGAGACTGAAACTCAAGAAGCACTGGCAAACGAGGCGGACAACATCACAAAGGTTTAATATAGCATTTTTTCAGGATATTGACAAACTCAACGAATTCAAGATAGCCATCAAGAATAGGCTCTAGGCCTTTCACGATGTACTCAGTGAAGAGGAACGTACCATGAAAAATAACTGGAAAGGGATTAAAGAAGCAGTAACTTCAATATGTTATGAGATTTTGAACCACAGGAGCACCATCATGAGGAATGGATTTCTGTTGATTTTCCAGATAAGATTCGAGAAAGGAAAAACAGAAGGCGGGAATGAAAAACAACTGAACAGGAGCAGAGGAAGCCAAAGCACAAGTCAAATAGGCAGAAGCGAACAAATTTGCTCACTATTGTGTAGCTTAGTGAGGAAATTATCGGAGTTCTAGCGACAAAGCGTGACCAGTGGAGTTCAACCCCATGGGGTGTAAGCAGTTATCTAACAAAGACAGTGGGTGAGGTTGCAGGATACCTTAGATTGGTCAGAGTTAGACATGAACACCCTTGGATGCCAGCTCAGTGGTCTGGAGGTCAAACGTTCACGCGCAAGACTGGAGGTCCTCGGCTCGATTCCTGTGAGCGGTGGTTGTGGACGTACACTGCTGATGACTCTGATACTATGACGAAACGACCTTCTAGTGTTTCAAGGCTTCTAATGATGGTCTACCAATGAAACTCAACAATCTCCACAACTTTATAACGAAAATGTATTGTTTAAATGTACTACAGATGCGTATAACCTTATTTCTTTAAAAAGACTGAATCCCTATTTTATATGGCTAAATTTCTTACATAAAGAGGCCTCCTATCTTTAATTATGCCCAGGGTTCTTTCCTGCTACTCATTCTTAACACTTTTATGACCTACGCTGAATAACACTGTGAATATACTTGCAAACAATTAGGTACATGTTGAAAGTATTCTTCATTGATTTCATCAACAAATCGTATTGAGTAGGGTTAGATTTCAGATTATCCAAGGTTAAGATTTATTACTATATAACTACTGTTATTCACTGATGAAGTAAACTATCATTAACTTTGATATGAGTCACCCTAATTACTTGAACATTAATGATACTACTAAATTACACAGATCGAAGTAGTTTGAAAAGAGAGGAGCTTTATAATGTAAAATCAATTGATAGTAAGCAGTTAACAATTCAAACCAGCAAACTACAAACACAAAGTGTTTATCATTAAAAGAATCCACACTATGCATTATTCTCAACATCAATTGACAATTGAAAATTTTCACTTACTTGTAATTGACAAGCTGGTAAATTCACTTCAGCAACTACTTCTGTACATGGATGTTCAACTTGAAGTCTTGGATTTAATTCTAAGAAATAAAATTCATTTGAATCTGGATTGTATAGATATTCCACAGTTCCAGCGCTCACGTAACCAACTAATTTAGAAAGACGTACAGCAGCCTTGAAATTGTATGAATAAAATAAATAAATAATGAAGAAAAAAAATGTTGTTATTTTTTTTCAAAAAAACAACAAATGGACTACACTATCATAAATCATAGAAAATATGCATAATATCGAATGAAAGTGTACAGCATAAAATACGCATAGATAGATATATTATTTGCATTACGGGGTTGTGAAGATTGTTAAGTTATATTTTTTTTGAAACCATGAATCGATCAATGTTAGACCACCGTTAGAAACCTGGAAACACTGGACGGCCGTTTCGTCCTAGTATGGGACTCCTCAGCAGTGCACATCCAGAACTCCTGCATCCCGCAGGATTCGAACCCAGGACCTTCGGTATTGTGCGCGAACGCCCTAACCGTCAGACCACTGAGCCGGTATCTAACGGTGTTAATGTCAAACTTGATCAAACTCACGGAGTTGCGCAACCTCATACACAGTCTTCGGTAGACACTACCTACACCCGAACAGGTTGAACTTCACTGGTCACGTCTTCTCACTAGAACTCGGAGAAGATTCCTCACGAAGCTAGTCAATAGTGAGCAAAGGTGGTTTGCATTACGGCGTTGTGAAGATTGTTAAGTTACACATTTTTTTGATCAAGTTAGACATTAACACCGTTAGATACCGGCTCAGTGGTTTAACGGTTAGGGCGTTCGCGCACAATACCGAAGGTCCTGGGTTCGAATCCTGCGGGGTGCAGGAGTCGTGGGTGCGCACTGCTGAGGAGTCCCATACCAGGACGAAACGGCCGTCCAGTGCTTCCAGGTTTCTAATGGTGGTCTAACATTGGTCGATTCATGGTTTCAAAAAAAGAGACATATTATTCACAATAAAGAAAAAAAAAGAAAAGACTAAATCATTATCTTACTTGTTCCATTTTCTCAATAATTTCTTTTGGTGCAACAACAATCGGTGCTTCTTCAATAATTTTCTGATGTCTACGTTGAACGGAACAATCACGACCGAATAAACTAATTGCTTGACCATAGATATCACAAAGTATTTGTACTTCTAAATGACGTACAGATGTTGCACATTTCATAACGAAAATAGGTGAACCAGGTACTTCCGCTTGTACCTAGAGAATAAATACAATAAGAAAGTTGATTATCAAATTATATAATAAAAAATTTGTATTTGACAGTTGATTATTTCAACTAATACAACTAATTACCTGGAGAATAACAGGTATAATAAAACAATTCAGAATTCAGTGCATAAATCGTTGAAAAAAAAATAATACTACCTACGAATGATGTAATCTGGATACAATCTACATTTTGGTCCATAATCAATAATGATTACAATAATGTAAGCATATTTATAAAATTTATAAATGAATAAATTAAAGTACAATATTTTAATAATCATGACTATAATGTTCAAATATAATCATCCGAATCGGATGTTAATATCTATAATGTACGTGTTTTATATGCAAGCATGAACTGTTAATTTGGTGAGAAAGTGAAAAGTATGTATGAAGGTACTTACTGAATAAACCTGGAAGCACGGCCGTCCAGTGCTTCCAGGTTTCTAATGGTGGTCTAACAATGATTGATTGATGATTTCAAAGGTGAATAATTTCAATCACGTAAGTCAGCTACAACATAGAACTTCCAACGTGCATACATCCGTTCAAGTTACCATACCACATTAGCACAGACAGATGAGATTGTCAATTAAAATCCCATAGTAGTAGATGTAGTACAAGAATTAGCAGTAATCGAAAAAATTACAATTCAAAGAAATGACTTGAGAATCATAATCCAGTGAGATAAATTTGAGAAGAGAATGATGAAGGTGATGAGGAATTCAGAAGATTAGAATTTGGCAGAACATAGAGAATGGATGCACCTGCGCCATTCAAATCGACCAAAAGACCGAGAAAATTGCTCATCCTTCGGTTAGCAAACGGATATCTAACTCACACCATAAGCGATGCAGGTTCGTAAACGCCAGTGGAGCCTTTTGTATCCATGCTGAGATTCATCAGGTGATTCACCAGGTCATCAGCACTGATGACACTCCCGAAATAAGTAAAGTGGTTAGCACGCTCAAATACTTCACTCGTTATCGCTAGTTTAAAGGCCGATTTTATTCACATATATTAAAACAATTCGTTGATAAATAAAAATCTGTATTCTGTAGAAAATGAAGTCAGATTTTTAACCAGTAAAAAACATCTACCTTCTCAGAAAGTTTAACTGACTGTCTGACTCGACGAGCGATGTATTATGATTAAGGGGTAGTTGGTTGGAAGAAAGCTTGGGGCGGACATACCAAAACATGGCACAAATCCATGAAGTCACTAACAAGTGGGCTGATTCATGTTGGTAGGTGTAGACCACCTGTTTAGGATCTACGAGACAATAGTAACCGTTGGTTAGCGACTTTAAATGACATTGCAATCAAACAGGTGCATCCATTCTTTATCTTCTCTCATGATCTCGTGAGCTTAGAACCTTTACTTATCTCTTTTTAAATTAATTTGACTGGATCATACTTCTTCAATAATATCATGGAATCATAATCTTTCCTATTACTGCTCATAGCTCTAAAACCTCTACAACTATTGGATTTGAATCGACAGTCGCATCTCTGTGCTATCGTGGTACGGCAACTTGAACTGATGTACACACGTACGCAGTTCTACGTTGCTGCTGACTGACAGACGGTCCAATGATCCAATTATTCAATCCAACTGCCTTCTCCATGAGGTTACATTGACTTTTATTTCATCACCAACATTTATCAATGATTACATAATCACGAAAATTTTATATAAATACTCTTATACTAATACTATTTATAGCAGTTGTCGAAACAAAACTGTTTACTAACTTGAGGAAAGACACGTTCAATATCGGCACTAGTTAATGCCTTTCTAATTCCTTTGCCTCCGCCACCAGCAGAAGCTTTAATCATCACAGGATAACCAATTCTCTCAGCATGTTTCAAACAGCTTGATACATCTGTGACACAACCAGAATGATATAATTCATCAGAGATTAGACGTGAATATAAAAATGATGATCTTTGTTGTAGTAGACCAGTAGGAGATTGTACCAGATTTAATGTTAAATTATCAATTGTTTCAGGTTCATGATGACCATTATTATTGACAAATTGATCAAGTGGTAAAGTTAAATCTATAAAATATGATTAATGTAAATTGAAATGAGTTTTCCAATTTTTTTGAGAAAAAATTGATCGATTTTCATAATAAATTAAGAGTGAATATTTTTTTAATCAAAGTAATGCATGGAACAATAGTCAACTGGAAATTTACTATATGAAGTAATTGTATTCAAATGACCATTAAAAGGACGGTGAACATTCGAGAATTGCTTCATACTGATATAAGACTTCTCAGTAGTGTGTGTATTCCACAACTCAAAGCGATAAGGTCTCTTGACTTGCTTTTTGCTTACTCTGTCCGTTTGAAGACTGAGACATGAAAGAAACAATCGTAAAATAATAGTCATGTACTCATCAACATACAATTTATTTAGTTTGATAAATAAATTTACAATTTCTATTGTCTGTTTGTTTTAAAAGTGAGCAGATTATTATTACAATACAGAATGTATTTTCTTACAGACTGTATGTCAATAAAAAAAGACTTTTAAATGAGAATTTTCTTTCAACTTAGTAATTTTCACGGATCGGTTGGCCAATAACAACCTACTGTTGGAGAGAACAGACTAGATTCTTGCCCAGAAAGAAATTAAGGAAAAAGTGTTAGAGGTGGATAGAGCATATGTTGTGAAAATCATCCAACCATGCCACGAGACAAGCTCTCACATGGAATCCTCAAGGTCAAAGAAGAAGACCAAAGAACACATTACGCCGAGAATCGGAAACACACATGGAAAGAATGGACAGTAATTGTGTGGAACTGAAAAGGAAGGCCCGTGGACTATATGCTTCATTAGTGGTAACGGACGTATACAAGTCACTGGGAATTCGCCTATCTATTGTTTTCAATTCAACAAAAGCTTTAAATATATCTGTGTGATCAAAATATAATATTCTTATGAAAAAAATATTTTAAAACAAAAATTGAAGATTTTACTCTTACCAGAACCACTCCAAGGAAGAGTAGGTACATGAGCACTTTGTGCAAGTATTGTAGATGCAACCTTATCACCAAGTGTCCACATAGCTTGATGTGAAGGACCTACAGAAATTATACGAATAAAAATATGTGAGATTAAATATAAAGAGATTCACTGAAACCATGAATCGATAACTGTCAAGATCACCATTAGAAACCTGGAAGTACTGAACAGCCGTTTTGAAGTAGTAATAGTAGTATGGGGCTCGTCAGAGGTGCGCATCCACGACACCCTCTAATAGCGCATGAACGCTTAACCTCTGGACCACTGAGGCGAAATCCACCGGTGTTCATGCCTAACTCTGGTCAACCTAAAGATTCTCAGAAACCTCTCCCACTTGGTTTAAAAAGGCAATTGTTATCGTCATTCTGGACAATATCATCTATTCTTACTTAATTCAAACACAATCGAGAAAAAATATTAAAAATTTTGAAAATAACAGAGAATTTCTAGGGACTAAATCGATTCACAGTGGAAAATGACACTTAACTGACAAAGAATCAATTCCTATTGAAAACATCAATCAATTACCTGGTGTATAAAAGATCAATCAAAAGAAAACAATCAACTGAGTAATAAATACACATATATACAGTGAGATAGTAAAACCTATGAAGACAATCAATTACAAAACAAAAGTTATCACCATAAACTGATTTAATGTCTCTCTGTGTGATTATTACAAGTTTACTTCTACTTCATGATGAAAGCTATCCAACTAAACCACTTTATACAAATAACCTAACACTATCCCAAGAACTAGAGACCGGTGTTTTATTAAAAAAATTTCGAATGAGTTGTAAATTAGTCACTGTGAATTTTGTGATCCGACGAGTTGTGTATATTCAAACAGTAGACTATATTATCTAGACTGGTATGACTTACAAGGAACAGGTAATCGGATATGAGGGTGGATGACACTTACCGGCCAACCACACTGTGGAAGGGTTTTTCTCGATAAGACTAAAAAGGAAATCGAATTGACATTGGTCTGGGAGAAGTGGGAGCGTAACCACAGAGCCTTGCGGATAATTGCTTGAGGCCGGTAACGCAAAGTCTTTTCATGAGATGATTTTAAAGTGTTAGCTCCGCTATTTAAATGGCCTTTTCTTCCAGAGACGGAAATCCGTGCGGTAAGGTGAGGTGTGACATTTTTAGGGTCGACCTTTTAAGACTCGTCCTTCTTTGTAAGAAGGCAGTATCGCAGCAGATGGCTGGTTGCTCGAGGGAAACACCTTACTGATGTCACAGCCCTCTACAATCAGCAGGACAACTTCGCCCTCAGAACTTCGGTTGCTGCTTTAGTCTTACCGTTCTACACTCGACCTGCGTGGCATGGTAGGACCTGAAGGAACATATATTCTAGTCATTATGGCTCGGTTGAGTCATCACAATATGCAAGACGGACCGCCACTTCAAGGTAACAGCTACGAGATCATGTAATACATTTAAGTAGCATTTTTAGATATAGCCTAAGGCTTATTAAATGAATTATAGTAGTAGCAGTATTCGTATCATTAATCAATAACTAACTTACCAAGAAATGCGATATTGTGCTTACTAAGCACATCAGGCAACTGAGGATTTTCCGAAGCATGACCCCAGCCAGCCCATACAGCCTGGAAAAAAAAAGAAACAAGAAATTCAAGCATGAAATTTGAAAAGACGGCGGAGAAAATTTGTAGCTAAGGTGGATGACTGTGGTGGAGCTGCGTTCTCTGAGCTGGATGTTTTGGTTGTGGAGCTTTCATTGTTCTTCCAAACAACATCATCCAATACTTTACTTGTACCTGTAGTTTGTGCTGATGATGCGGTTCAGAACAACGATGAAAAGTCCAAAACCAGCCGAAACCAAACAAAGAAAAATCATATTTGTTCATCAAAAATCATCTTACAGGACTAGTCAATATTAGTCATAATAGAAAAGATTGGAATCTACGAAAAAAAAGTGTACAGAACTAAACTGTCCAAATTTACACCATCATCATGTGAAAATAAGGTTAAAAATTAATTTTTCTAAAAAAAGCTGATTGAATCTCGAAATCTGTGCCACTGAAGACTAACATCTTGGATTTTATCTATGCCAGGAGTCATGGATACGCACCGCGGTAGAGTCCCATAGAAAGAAAGAAACAGCTGTTTTGAACGGTATCGAAAATGAGATCAGTTCGTGATGAAAATCATTGGACAAATAAAAAATGATTTCCAAAAAAAGACTAATTCATTCAAAAACAAATAAAAGTATGGAGCAATTATATCAAACAAATCAAAAACTACACAAAAAAGCTACTAAAAATCAAGGCTTACAAAGCAATATACAATAATCAATGAAACTACAAATGAGCAACAAATTTTTTTTATGAATATCGTTAGAAACCCTTTAATTATTAAATTAAAATCAACTTCATCATATAATCAAAGAGTCTATCAGTTTTTTGTTCACTAAAGAGTTAAGGAGATTGTTGTTGATTATTGAAATCACGAACCAATCATTGTTCAACCAGTATTAGAAACATGGCAGCACGGAAAGACCGCCGTTTGGTCCTGGTATAAGACTACTCACTGGCAGTCCGCATCCATGACTCCTACAAATCGCATGATTTGAACCCGGAACCTTAGGACTTGCACGTGCACTTCTAACCTTTGGACCACTGGGCCCGTATCTGACGATGTTATTATCTAACTTTGATCAATCCACGGTCTTGCACAACCTAATTTACTGTGTTCCGTGAGCAATGCAATGTTGCAACAAATTTTTTTTATGGATATTGTTAGAAGCCCTGAATGATTACTGGATTAAAATCAACTATCATCATACAACCAAAGAGTCTGTTAGTTTTGACAAAGGTTAGAGTAAATCGATGATCAATAACTCGGTGTAGTCACTCAATGTCTTGTCTAACAGTATTCCTAAGGTGAACAACAATATATATATTGTTCATTGGCGTACTTTTCAAGACAGTTTGTTGCATTCATCATATACTGAAATGCAACGGAAACATACATCAGTTGAGAGTATTCGCATATACATACATAATTATTTAGATAATGGTTTAGTAAATGAATAACTATAAAATATATGTAATTACATTTACAAAGATTATTTAGGCATTTAAGATTATTATTATTATTATTATTATTATTATTACTATTACGTAAATTGAAATATAATGCTCCTTACCAAAGAAAAAAAGGTGCAGTGTAAATTATATGTGAATTTCATATGAATATATCGAATCTCAAAAATGATTAACTTGATTAAAAAACTGCATGTATATACATATATATATATATATACATATATATAGACATCATATATACATATATATATATATATGTATATATACATATATATATATATACCTTATAATAGTCTCAGTTTAAACAAGATCATATTCAGTTGCATAAGTGAATTAAACTATATTACTGAGATAACTTGCTGATTAATACATTCTAGTAAGTTGAAAGAAATTAAGGGGCGGGTAAGCGATGTGATTGTTAGTAAAAGAGTACTAAGTAGGGATGGCAGGTCAATTGATGAAGTAGTCGATCTTCATCAGTTGAGGTGGTCGGGACATGTGTCACCTATGCATAACCATAGCTTGATGAGCTATGTTTTGTGATAAGGGAGTTGGTTGGAAGGAAGCTAGGGGCAGTCAAAGCAAAACATGGTACAAATCCATGAAGTCACTGACAAGTGGACTGAGCAATGTTAGTAGGTGTAGACTACCTGGTTGGGCTCCGCTAGACAATAGTAACCGCTGGTTAGAGACTTTGAATGACATGGCTGAAAATCGTTTGGAATGGCGCAGGCGCATCCATTCTTTATGTTCTCCCAAATTCTAATCTTATGAATTCCTCATCACATTCACCTTTCTCTTCTCAAGTATATTTCAGTGGTTTATACTTGTCAAAGTATATCTTTAATCAGTAGTCTTTTCGATTACTGCTAATACTTTTACTACATCTATCACTATGGGATTTGAATAGACCATTCCATCACCCTGTGGTATGGCAACTTGATCTGATGTACGCATATACAAAGTTCTACGTTTGAAGTAGAATTCCGATTGTAAATTTTGAATGTTGGTTTTTAAGTGTTAGTTGTTGGGTGATGTAGATGTTGGGCAGTGTAGTTTGGAATAAGGCTTTCCCAACTTTCTTGCGTGGATCTTCTCTACCCACCAACCTGATGTAAACTCCAGACATTTACATTTTGTTCTCTCAATATCTCGAAAAACCCCCTGTTAAACGAGAGTTCAGTGGGTAGAGCATTTCTGACAGTGGCAATATACGTGAGGCTATGTGAGAACATTTCGAGAGAGAGAGAGAGAGGACTCTCGTCACTCTCAGCTGTGCCAGGGCACAGATTTTAATATCATAACTAAGTAAACTGGACTTGGATGTAAGGACTTAGACTAAGAATGAGAGAAAATATAAGCGACAAAGAAGAAGTGCGAATGATTTTGGCAATAAGTATTCATTCATTCATTGGATTGACAATGTAGACAATGTCAGACCACCGTGAGAAACCTGGAAGCACTGGACGACCATTTTGTCTTAGTGTATTGGAATCATCAGCAGTGCGCATCCACAACTCTATCTACTCACAGGACTCGAACCCAGAACCTTCAGTCTTGCGCGCGAACGCTTAAACTCTGGACCATTGAGCCGGCATCCAACGGTATTAATGTCTAACTCCGATCAATCTAAGGATTCTGTGCAACCTCACACACTTGTCCTCGGTAGTTACTGCCTATACCCAACAGCGTTAAACTTCATTGTCCTAACAATGATTGATTCATGATTTCAAGGTCAAACTATCATCTCCATAATACATTAAGGCAAAATGTATACACAATAGTAAATATTTGTTATCATTTTTACTAGAAAGAGTGAATGTGTGTTCATCTTTACAGTTATGTAAATAATATGTCTATATTTATGAATACAAAAGTAAATAACCTTAGATATTAGATATCCAATGGAATACACTTCTGTTGACTTTATTGAACATATGCATGTCTATCACTCCTAGTTAATTGATTACATATATCAGTGATATATAATTTACCAGAATAAAATTAAAAACTACATCACATACAATATCAATAAAATAAGTGAAAATATTAAAGTGTACAAATAGTTAAACTATTTTCATAAAGTATAAATAAATATCATGATAATGGTCTAAAAATAATCGATTTTGTTAGATGTGACTAAATTAATCAAGCAGAAACAACGACATGGAACGTGATACGTACGTAACTACATACATCAGGTCAAGTTGAACATATCATATTATAAGCACAGAGAAATGGAATTTTCAATTCAAATCCCATAGTGATAGAGGTAGTAGATCGAAAGGATAAGGGTTCGAGAATATAATTCGAGAAATATAATCCAGTGACTTCATGGATTTGTGCCATGTTTTGGCTTGGTCACACCTGGCTTTCTTCAGTTCTTCACTAATTGATTCTCTGTAATTGCTTGGCACCCCTTTCCGAAACTCAGTATTGCTACAACGTGGTCCCAGGATAAAGGAACAACAACTTTGATCAAATACTAGTAGCCTACGAATGTTTTCTATTTCGGAGACTATGTTTCACATCCGTAAGTTAGTAGCACGGAGAGAACTGCTGCGCAGTAGACTCGTCCTTTGGTTAGCGGAAAGATATCTCAACTACGCTATAAATGATGCAGATTGGCAAAGGCCAATGGAGCCTTCTGTATCCGTGCCAAGATTTCGTCAGACACTAAGCCATCAGGACTGATGAGACTCCCAGGTGAAGACATCAACACTCTCAACTACTAGTTCAGGTGCCGATACTATCCGATAGCGAGGCAATATTTCATATTTAGAGTGGGAGAGAATCGCATTTTCAACGTACGCTTGCATTGTTGCTTAAGCTGGTCAGGAGACTCTGAATTTTGTCAGTGTCTTCACCAGAAATAGAACGATGTCTTCGGCATATTGACCTTATATAACTATCCTCAAAGTCAGTAAGTCATGCCTACTTTGAAATGGTGTAAAATAAAATGATAAAAATGAATTTGAATAGGATATTTTTGATAATATCAAAAAATCAGAAGATTTCAAATGTACCGCAGTAAAAAACTTCATGATCAGACATCAGAATTAATTTATAAAGAATAATAAAATACCATATATCTGCTGGGTATTTTCAGTTCAGATAAACAATGCTTTATGGGCAGAGAGTCAAAGCTGTGCAGTATATTATTCTAAAATGAGGGTAGTTTGACATGATCCACTACATCAGCTGCGACATCCGACAGGATTGAACTACACTCGTCACGACTTCCTACTAGAAATCATGGAAAATTCCTTACAGAGCTAGCCACTAAGGAACACATGATAGCTTTCATTATAGGATTGTGGAGATTGTTGAGTTTTATTGAAATCATGAATCGATCAGTGTGAGGCCAGAATTAGAAACCTGGAAGCATTGAGGTTGCTTAAGACCGTAGATAAGTGGCAAAGCATTCGCGAGTGAGACTGTGGGCCTGGGTTCGGTTTCTGCGTGCAGGAATCATGGATGCACATGATGACGAGTCTCACATTATACTACGAAACGGCCATTCAGCATTTCCAGGTTTCTAATAGTGGTCTAACATTGATCGATTGATGATTTCAGTGAAACTCAATAGTCTTTACAACCTTATGATGAAAATTCACGTTGAGATGATAAAAATAAACAAACGTTCCGATTAATAGATTAAAAATTCTTTTAGATGTAAATAGTACAGCTCAGTAAGTCAGTGCATAGCATAAATGTACATCATCAATCAGGCAAATGTAATTTTGACAGAAATTAAACATTGGAAACATAAGACAAGAATACAGAATGAAGATATATGTATGCAAAGGATTACTGGAACCTACGAATCAAAAGTAACATAAGTAGTGAATATATTTGAGTCATTAGGTTTTATACTTGTAGAAGCTTTCTTTCGAAATAATGAATCGATCAATGTTAGACCAGCATTAAAAAAAAACCTGAAAGCATTGGACGGTCGATTCGTCCTAGTATGGGGGAGGGGGCTCATTAACAGTGCGCATCCTCGACTTATGCAACTCGAATGCGTGAATGCTTAACCTTTGGACAAGAAAATATGTACAATTAAATTACATAAATATATTTTTATAACAATTTTCGATTAAGAAATGATAAAAGACTGAACTTACATCAACTTCATTAGTGACAGCAGTTTGTAGAATTAATTCCACATTAGCATAATTATTTACATTGGAACCACCTGGTACTAAAACCATTTTATTTGCCATTTTAATGTATTCTGCATTTGCTTGTATATCTTCCGGTGTTGCCATACATATAAAACGTAAAACATCGGAACTGCCAAATGTAGCATATGACCATTTTCTTAAAGAACGCATACATTTGACTGCTGCAATACCATTGTTTGCAATAAGAATCTTTTGGAAAACAAATATTTATAATAATAAAAAAAGTTAAAAAATTGTCATGGATCGAAATCGTCAGCGCCTAATTCATGTACAAGTAGGTACTGATAATGTTGGCTACAGTGACAATGGAAACTTTACAAACTAGGTGACTAGTTCAGGGAACACAAAATGATACTGTTCAGTGGAAAATTGTTCAACTCTAGAACTCATAGACCAGGTTAGAGAAGTTAACAATATAGAAGTGTTAATTATTGAGATGGTGGAGAAAACTTGTAGCTCAGGTGGATGATTGTGGTGGTGTTTCGTTCTCTGAGCTGGTTGTTTTGGTTGTGGAGCTTTCATTGTTCTTCTGAACAACATCATCAGCACAAACAACGACAGGTCAAAAGTCAACAGCAACCAATCAAGATCGAGGTTAGCAGAACAAGCTACAGGTCAAACATGGAGAAATTCGAATGCTTCACTTCTATCTGAAGTTTGTCAGGAGTGATTCTATGGTGCATGAGAACACATTCCAGTATGGTTAGTTAATATGATGATTATTTCGTTTAAATCTTTTTACTCTGTTATTATCATAACACTGTTTTGACTTTATCGAACTTTCTAAGATAGTCACAAGTCATTTATTTACTACAAGTTTCTTAGTCAATATCAAGAACAACCCCAACTATTGGAATAAAGTGGTAGCTAGTAATTTGGTTGAATGGTGACATAATTTAAAACAATATCATGTCAGAAACTATATCAAACAATTCTACAATTAATATGTAATGAGAAAATGTTATTCTAGTAGAAGTGTGTAAACAGTGTTAACAGCTGGTCAATTCAATTACTGAAAAATTTAGTTTTACAAAATAAATCTGAAACAGACAACGATCATAGAATAATCAGAGTTTGATGAATTCATACATATAGAATGAATAAAGTTTAGTTAAAGCGTTTCAACTGACCAACGCTTGATTTTGCAAAAGAAAGAAACATCTCTTTTTACATCTGTTAACCCCGATGGAGCACAAGCCGCTGACCAGCTTTTTCCAACCTACTCTGCCCTGGACCTTCCTTACCAGTTCCGTTCAATCTTTTATTCATTCTTCCCATGTCTGTCTCCATTTATCAGCGTGATTTATTTATTTATCCTAGTCTACTCCTTTGACCCTGAGGATTTCAAGTGAAGACTTGGCTTGTGACGCTTGGAGCCCCTCTGGGTCTTCTGCAAGTCCTAAGCCCAGATAAAGAAGGGTTTGGTGTGGGGTTGGCGACCCTGTTCCGTAGAAAACTAACTCCCTCAGAAAACGCTAAGCAGAAAAGAAACAAACAATCACCAGTAAATTTTTTAAAAAAACGTTATCGATTTACCTTTTCAATGATTCGTACACCGCCTGATTTACGTACAAAATCTTCAGGTGAAGAAAATCGTACTTTAAAATTTGATAAAGTCCTATAAAGAAGAATATCTTAGATTGTAAAAATATTTAAAAGATGGTTTTTATGGATTCATAATACATACATCAAATTCAATGGCAAGAATATGCAATAACGTTGAAACATTATACTGCACTGTGTACTGTGCAGTGGTTCGCTCCGTCTTACTTTATGGATCTGGAACATGGCCAATGAGAGTAGAAGATATTCGTAGGTTACTGGTTTTCGATCATAGGTGTCTTCGAAACATTGCTCGTATATCGTGGGACACCCGAGTGAGCAACGCTGTTATTAGGAATCGGGTTCTAGGTAAGAATGGCAGATCAATAGACGCAGTAGTGACACTTCATCACTTGAGGTGGTTGGGACATGTGTTGCGTATGCCTAACCACCGACTGCTTCGTCGAGCTTCGTTTTGTAGTGTAGGAATAGGTTGTAAGAAAGCTAGGGGCGGCCAGACCAAAACATGGCATAAATCCATGAAGTCATTGACGAGTGGACTTAGCCATGTCGGTAATTGTTGACTACCTGGTTGGGGTCCGCGAGATGATAATCATCGATGGTTAGAGACCTTGAATGACATGGCTCAAAATCGTTCGCAATGGCGCCGGTGCATTTATTCTTTGTGTTCTCTCAAATCCTAATCTTCTGGGTTCTTCAACACCTCTACTTTTGACTTTCTAAACTTTTCTCATTAAATCATACTTCTTGAATAATATCTTCTCATCCTAACCTCTTCGATTACTCCTAATACCTTTACTACCTCTTCTACTATTGGATTTGAATTGACAATTACACCTCTGTGCTGATGTGGTATGGCGACATGAACTGATGTGCTTACGTACGAAGTTCTAGGTTGCATCTGACTGACTGACTGAAACATTATACATATATAATCGTGAAGATAATTTGCATGAATGTGAAACAGAAAAAAAACAAGAGCATAAACTACAGTGAACCATGTAAACAATTCCTGATACTGGCAAATAAATACATTTAAATATGATTTGAGAATGAGCCAATTGAAGATCTTAAGTTTATTTCATTATGAAAAAAAGAGGGAAAGTTGCTATACCAAGAAACTTACTACACTTCGTCATCTTTATAAAATAACATATCCATTGTATTGAAGAAATATTTCAATATTTGTTATCATATCTGATTAACATAGAATAAGGTAATTCAATTTGTATCAGTCAGTCAGTCAGCTAAAACGTAGGACTTCGCACGTATGTACATCAGTACAAGTTGCCATATCACATTATCACGCAGAAATCGAATTGTTAATTCAAATCCCGACTTTGGCTACTACCTTGCCTATCGTGATGACCCAATCGAATTATATTGGTGTTGTAACGCTTCCCAGCTAATTCCTATTGCTTAGTATTCTCTGACCACACAATACACTGGACAAGTTCCAAAGAATCAAAAACACGGTTGAACAGGAAAAGATTATATTCCAAATAGCAAGGTTAAATGGAAATAAGAAGCCGAAGACAAAGTCAACATAGATACAGTGTTAGTTCTTTGTGGTATTTACATGAGAAGCTTCTGGATAGTAGTAATTCACGTGATCGACTAGATTAGATTTAGCCAATCAGCGCGCAGCTGACAACACGAGAATTTTCTACCCAGTTCTCCAAGAATTGATCAGGCGCTTATTGGATAGGAAATTAGCCATTTGGCGAGCAGCTGACGCAGTCATGCTTCATTTGCATCTATGTCCCACTAACACCTCTCCTTTGAGAAGATTCGTAGGATCTGGTGCTAGGATCCAACTGCAACCGAGTGACTGGCTAGTACTTTCGATTAGTCCATCTTCTCGGCAATAAGGAAGTTGTGTCACTCTTTGCTTGCACAGAAACTGACCTGTCTGTTCCAGGCGTTTTGATTTCAAAGGTGTCTAGCAGAACGTCAAGCGGTATTCGATACTGAGTCCCGTAGCTGGCTATCGAAGTTACTTTCAGTTGGTTAGCATGACGTACCCAAACTTCTGAGCCAACTGACACTTCATAAATCACACTCACTAGCTGTTCATGTAGGAGGTTTTCTACGATAGTCCATAGCAAGTACTTTTCCAGCCACCGTGAACAATCGTATTTGTGCCCCATGGTGTCTATTGAACTGCTTCTCCATCGAAAGGTTTCGTTGACGCTCAAGAGCTGGTGTAGGACGGATGACATCAAAATTCGTCCCTATTTTCCTGCCAAGTAGAGCTTCTGCAGGTGAGACTCCGTTAATCGCCTGAGGGTTCAGTGCAGAGCGATAAATAAGCAGGAACCTATCTAAGATCTCTTCGGTCGTTCCCTCCCCTTTAGATTTTTTAGAACATTTTCAAATGTACTCACAAAGCGTTCTACTTGACCATTTGATTGGGGATGGAATGGAGGTGTTGGATGTGATGGATTCTGTTCTGCCGACAAAATTATGAGAAGATTGCGGACGTAAACTTTGTCCCGTTGTCGCTAACTACCAATTCCGGGACCCCGAAACGACTGAACAGCTGACGTAATTGGCTCAATGTGCAGCTTGCAGTTGGGTGTTTCATAAAAAAATTTTTGGCCACTTACTGTATGCATCAATTACCAGAAAGTAAGTTTGTCCATGAAGTGGGACAGCAAAAACCAAATGTATACGCTGCCACGGTGACTGTGATATTGGCCATGATTGCAGCTCTGCTTTCCGTGGTGCTTTTGTCGCTAATGCACATTTGGTACACAAACGGGATAGCTGCTCTAGCTAGGTCTCTAAATGCGGCCAGTATACATAACTTCGTGCGAGTGCTTTCATGCGATTTAGTCCAGGATGTCCTGCTAACAATTGGCTGGAGCATATGTTCCTTCCTGTAGGTTCTACCATGCCAGACAGGTTGACTGAAAAACGATAAGACTAAAAGCAGCAAGTGAAGATTTGAGGGCGAAGCCGTACTGCTGACTGCAAAGGGGTGTAACAGCAGTAAGGTGTTTCTATCAGACAACCAGCCATCTACTGCAATCCTACCTCCTTACAAGGAAGAATGAGTTCAGAAAAGGTCGACCATAAAAATTTCATACCGTATGTCACGTCATGGATTTCTGTCTCCAGAGGTAAGGCCATTCAAAAAACGGAGTTAGCGCTTGGAAAACATCCCATAAACAGATCGTGTGTGACCTGTTTAAGTAGTTGTCCCCTGGGCCCTGCGGCCACGTACCCAGGTCGCCAATCCAATTTACTTTTTAGGCTCCTCAGAAAATATCATTCCATGGTGTAGACAGCCGGGAAGTGACATCCTTCCTCCTACCCGTAACAGCACACGAGACCGAATTGGGCACAATCAAATTCCTCCTATTCACCTTTTACCTCCACGACCAACCCTACTTTCACTCTTTTATCAATTTGTGTAGTACGTTTCTGTATGTTACGTCATTGGTTTCTTTTATCATTCCCTAAATATTATCTTTCATTTATTTTACAATTTTTGGAATATTTATTTCTGACTATTTTATTTTTCAAAGGCTTTCTTTTTAATTAATTTATTTTGTATGCTATAAAATAAACTAACACACAGTGGTGGAGTCTCGTTTTCTGAGATAGACGGTTAGGTTGTGGAGCTCTCATCGCTCTTCTGAACAAAATCAGCAGCAAAAACTCCAGACAGAACTGAAGTGTTCGAATTTTTCCACATATGACTCGTCGTTTTTCTTTTCGACATCAATCTTGGTTGATTGTTACTGACCTTTAACCTGTCTGCCTCTTTATTTCCATTGTATCCTCCTTTGATCAGTTTCTTGCTACGAGTCATATGTGGAGAAATTCGAATACTTCAGTTCCACCTGAAGTTTGTGTTGGTGTTGTTTAGAAGAGTAATGAAAGCGCCACAACCTAAACATCCAGCTCATAGAACGAAACCCCACTACAATCATCCACCTGAGTTACAAAGTTTCTCAAATATTTCACACTACAACAAATGAGTTTTCGTATAAAATTCATTATTTGTAACCGCTTCATAATCAGCTCATGATATGATCGTGAACAGCGATGAACATTTTGTGTAACATTAATTCGAAAATAATACTTTATTGTGTGAAGTGATGGGGCATTATGGTTACAATACCCAAAATACAACCATTAAGTCATGAGTTCGCAACCCAACAACATTGATCCTGGTTTGTACAGATGATGAGTAATCCTAGACGTTAAAATAATAGAGTGATTAAAAACTGAAGATACAAAGATGCATTTGGTAAATGAGTTTCATAATCTTTCGTCGTGTCATCGTGCGCACAATTTTTGTTATAGAGATAAACTATATGAGTAACACAACGATCAAGTCATATAATTCTACTCTTAAAGTTTTATCCATCATATATTTCTTTATTCTCCATTGTCTGTATAACTAGAATCGAAAAATTGAAAAATCTATATTATTTATTCTTAAATACAAACTTATATTTTGCCGTAAAAACGAAAGACTATATGTTTGATTTATGTACGTTTTTGACAGTAACATGTGATAATTTCTAATCACGAAATTGGCTTGTAATAAACCTGTTTTATACGTGGGAAAACTTGACTAAGTTATATGAAACTGATGATTTATATTATACTGTAGTTACGTACTACGTAAAATCTTAATAGGAGAACAATTGTTTCACAGACCCCAACCAGATAGTCTACCCTCACCTACATGGTTCAGTTCAGTTCTCAGTGACTTCATAGATTTGTGCCATGTTTTGATTCGGACGCGCCTAACTATTTCCCAGCCTACCCCTACGTCCGACAACATCGCTCACTATGGCAGTTAGTGGCTAGACATTCGTAACACGTGCGTCTAAAACTTCAGCTAGTGAAGATTCACCAATCAATTTGCCATCCTTACCTGATACCCTTTTCCTAGCAACAGTGTTGCTTACTCGTTAGTTCCAGAATACACGAGCAATGCTTCGAAGACACCGATGAACGAATAATAGTAACCTACAAATATCCTCTACACCTACCGGCCATGTTTCACACCTGTATAGTAGGATGGAGCGAACT